AACAGAAAAAAATGAGCATTTATCGGCCGATACCGATATGGTGGCCGATATATCGTGCATCCCTACGAATCGCATGCGATTAATTGCACAGTCCTATTACAGCCACACGATAGTTCATACAGATCATAGTTTAATAAAACATTTCAGTGACCTTTTTTCAGAGTTGGAAGTTAGATGTCAAATGTCATTTGAAGAAGTGAAGTAAATGACAGTCAAGTCACCTTTATTTATATCGCACTTAATACCGTAAACAGTAAATTTTTTGGTTAAAGTCAGTTCGGCATTGATTCAGTGATGTCATTGATGATGATACACAAAGTTATGTCATTTGCTGTCTAACCCTAACCCTATGTACTTAATTTGATAAACTTTAGTTGCCCCTGTGAGATCATGTAACTGAAGCATCTTTCAAAGACCTCAAGGGTTATATTGGTTTTTCCCCTGAAGTCACTGACTTTGTCATCTGTACTTTTCGTTCGACCCTCACCCACAATAAGCTGTTTATTATTCAAGTCTAACAACCTTTACTCCTTTTAATCTAACATATGAGTTTGTATTTGTCATAACTGTATCTTCGATATGCTTTCCTTGGCCTTGGTCCCACTGTACAGCCCTCACCCTATAGCCCATTTACTATAATGACTAAGTTAATTATTGGTATTATAAAGGGCCAGTCCTCATATTTTGTGCATATTTGTGTGTGTGTGTGTGTACATTACTACTTACACCCACATTCTATGATTTCGCACTCCATTAAAGTCAGTATAGACAATGTCATTTTCCGTTGATGGTTTTGCATTGTTTGGCCCTACAACTAACTCTGACTGTACTGTGCTGGCGTTCTCTTCTCCTGTGTTTACATCATAGCTTACTCACCCTCATCAGACAAGACAACCTGTTCTCAATGTCACACATGCAAAGTTAATATACAAGTAAATATGTATGTCAGTAATTTAGGGCATTAAGGTTAAAGGGATAGTTTACCCAAAAATGAAAATTCTGTCATTAATCAATCACCGTCATGTCGTTCCAAACACGTAAGACCTTTGTTCATCTTCAGAACACAAATTAAGATATTTTTGATGAAATCCGTGAGCTTTCTGACCCTTCATAGAGAGCAAAGTAACTGAAATGTTTCCAGACCAAGGACACCGGTAAAACAGTCCATGTGACATCAGTGGTTCAACCGTAATTTTACGAAGCTGCGAGAATACTTTTTGTGCACAAAGAAACAAAAATAATGACTTTATTCTACAATTCTTCTCCTCTAAATCACGTCTTCCTCCGTTATCGAGAGTACCTCTGCATGTAAACAACGCATGCATGTGGTGCGCTGAGCCTTGTTTACGTGCAGAGGAAAGCAATGCGATAATGTCTGCGATAATATCGTAATTGTTGTTTTACCGATGTGCGATTTGACATTACCAAGTATTTTGCAAAAGCCATTCAAAACACCCCTACAGAGCGCACGCATGCATTACGTGAAGTCTAGACTAGTGCGCATATTGAGTAAGTTCTTTCACTGCATGATTCAGTCTATTAAAATGCATTTAGAATGATCACAAATTCAAGACATGATGGCAGAAAATTTATGTATTTATACCATTTCATATAGTTAATAATCAATTTCACACGAAGAGTGCCGTTTTTCTCCAAATATTACCATGATTACAAATGTGATAGTTTTTTTTTTCAACAGTTCAATAAACAAGTTAATTAAGAGACTTGCGTTTTAGACACTATATTGCCTGTTTTTGCTCTATTTCAACAACAAAAATTTTATTAAATTAATTTTAATAATTGTAATAATTCACCACACAGAATATGAAGAATATTAAAAACTTTAGGAATCAGCTGTCCACGGCAGTCATTAAGATACCAGCACAATAATACACTCAGCAAAATATCATCTAATTATCATTATCGATAAAATCCCAGAAAATATCGAGATATTATTTTTTGTCAATATCGCACACCCCTAATGTGTCGTGGTACTCTCCATAATGGCGGAATTCGTATTTGGAGGAGAAGAAT